ACCCATCACAGCTGCACGCCGTTGGAAAAAAATGTTTTTTGGAGAAGTCACCTCCCAATTAATGCCATTTTGTAAAATCAAACTGCTCATTTTTACTCAGTACTTTTACTTTTAATACTTAAGTAGATTTTGTGTCAGAAATTTACTTTTGATACTTAAGTACAAAAAATATCAGATACTTTAAGATTTTTACTCAAGTAATATTTTTAGAGAAGACTTTAACTTTTACCAAAGTATTTTTATGATAAGATACTTGTACTTTTACTCAAGTATCACTTGGAGGTACTTTATACAACACTGATTTTACTGTACATAGGAAAAATATTTTCAAACACACAACATGTGAGAAAATGCAGCCATCATTTGTCAGTTGAAAGACCTTTTTGCAGGATTGTTCACATTTTAAGAAGAGAAGAATTCTGTAAGCTTGATTCATTCTGGACTTTACTATTTGACTCATTAGTGCCTCTAGTGTTTGAACAAGGAACTGCATCCATCATCATCACCCCCAGGTAAAGGACAGATGAGTGACAGGACAGGGTCACTTCAGGGGGCCAATCAGATTTCAGCTGGGGCCAATGCCCCAGTGGCCCCGCCCCTAGAACCGCCCCTGCATGAGCATCTCCACTGTGGATCTGTTGATTTTTTATCAGTGCTTGTCTTCCAACTCTTCCACCACTGTCCTGAGTTGAACCTGGAATTCTTTTCTTTTCCTTTTATTGGAGTGTGACAATGTAAAACCCAATCAGCACTTTTAGTTTTCTAAATGACACACAAAAAAAACATTACCACAATACAAATGTGACTCGTAAAGCTCATGTAAATGACTTGGAACTGTATAAACACATTCAGGAAGCATCGTGACACCCGTTATTCTCTAAATAATGAGTACACTGTGAGACGATGGATATTCAATTAACTTTTGGAGGACTTGTCAAATTTATAAGCCAAACTCATTCATTTTAATGAATCCCTGTGGATCATCAGAATGGCTGTCAGTGACAATGCAACCTCCCAGTGATTCACATTCAGTTAAATAGGCTGGGATTAGGCCACACTGATGTGCAGATGATTTGAGCTTTATTAAAAATGCTCTATCATGTTCTGTTATACCGTCCAAATGAACACCTTCAGTAAGAAATGTAGCTAAAACAACAAATATATATGATGAAAAACATTTAGTTTGGTCACATGTATAACATGAATWAAAAATCTGAAACAAACTGCAAGGGCAGGACTCATTAGGTGATGAAATCATAAAGATCCATGTTTTGAACTTACTGAGTTCAGAGATGCTKCCCACCCGTGTGGCCAGTAAGCACTGCTCGACGGCACGCAGCTCCGACTGACTGTAGGGATTTCCCTCCCCGCTCTTCCCTGCTCGCTGCTGCTGCTGCTGCTGGTCTCTGTGAAGAGTCAGACCCTCAGGTAGGCTGAGCACACCTGATGGAAAAGTGAAAAAAAAAGCAAGAGCTCAGAGTTTCATCAGTGTCGTAGCAGAGCACTTAGTGAGTTCAAATACTGTCTCAGTATTATCAGCGTTGCGATAATAATACACGTTAACGTTTTTTCTAATAAATGTCTTAAAACGGATAAAACAGACAGATGWTTATACTCATTCGTATATTTATAGTGATAGTGTGAGACCCTTCACCAAATGAGATGTAATTATCTGCACTGAGTGTGAGAATGTGGCTGTGAGAAGAGCGGAGGTGATGCAGTGCAGTAATTATGATGCCTACTTATAACTGTCAGACTGTCCAAAATGTTTTTTTTTTCCTTTTTTTTTCCCAAATGTAAAAATGTGTAATTGTACACATGCACTTTCAGAACTCATACTTTTCTTCACTCTGGAAGGGCTGAAGGACTATTTTCATTGTGCTTCAATGTTTGTTTTTTAATTCCTCAGCAGCTTTTTATCTTAAGTCTTACAAGGTATAAAAGTGCAGAAAAAATAGCAGTTTAAGTTTTATATGCGTCCACTTTTATAATATATGAAATATAATTATGATTTATAATAAGTGGTTAAATTAATGTTTGTGCTGCCTGTGGCAAACTTATCATTTATTCAGCTTGTAGATCCAGTTACTTTCAAAGCACAAAAAAGTTAATGTGAAATTTAAAAAACGTATAAAGATTTTCATCAAAGCTTAAGACTGAACTAAAATTTGCTGCTGTGGTCTTCATGACCATTTACTGCCTGGTCACAATCACACAATAATATTTGGTTGGACCTCCTTTAGCTTTGATTACGGCACACATTCTCTGTGTCATGTTTGGATAAGCTTCTGCAATGTCACAAGRTTTWTTTCCATCCAGTGCTGCATTAACTTTTCACATTAATGATGGTAGAGTCTGAGCGCTGAGCAAAGCCTTCTCCAGCACATCCCAAAGATTCTCAATGGACTCTGTGGAGCCAATCCATGTGAAAATGATGTCTCGTGCTCCCTGAACCACTCCTTCACAGTTCCAATGGTGAATCCTGACATTGTCATCTTGGAATATGGCCRTGCCATCAGGGAAGAAAAAAAATACATTGATGGAACAACCTGGTCAGATGACCTCATTCTTTGAGCTCATACTGTTGCTGAACCTAGACCTGACCAACTGCAGCAACCCCACATCATAGTAACATCCAGGTGGACCTTTTTTTTTTTGGCTGGGCAGTGTACATCCTTTATCATCAGTGATGTTTCTGGAATCACGTGTTTCGGGTCTCTGTCTCAATTCAGAGGTTGCATCCTCCTGAGTGCACGTTTGTCAGCTGCTTACATCACCGCCCCACACCAAAGGCTGTCCCAAACTGTGGGCTCCTTCTCATGCAACTGACGAATGCGGCCCACAAATTACTGAAAATGAAGGCTGCATCTGCCGGCCAAGGATATCCCAGGATTCATTGCCATCAGCAAACTACATAGAAAAACAAAGAGGTTGTTTTTTCTTTTTTTATTATTATTATTAGAATTAGAATTAATTATAATTATTATTAATTAAAAATAGTATTAGTATTAATAATTATTGTCTATTTAATTTTTATAGTATTATTTTAAGTTGGCATTGTTTGGAAATCCATCACTGATCAAAGAATTTGTTTTTAAATGTAAGTTTGGCAAAGTAGCTGATGAAATTGATGCTGCAATGAGATGTTAAATGATGCTGGAACTAAACCCAATTATTGTTCTTTTATTTATTTACATGTAACATTTTAATTGTGAAGTTGTTTCTCTAGTGAAAAGACAGGTGAATACATGTCCCAACGTATTTTAAGTTTGAAGGCACGCGATATAAAACGTAACAACGTGATAACGGGGTAGTGCGTGGTCACACAAATGGTAAAAACATAACAAGAGCTCATGTAAAATGGTTTGAGGTAAGGCAGAGCATTTATTTTTGATGGTTTGTTTGAGATCATTACATTAAACAGAAAAGGGATGCATTTCATGCACAGCTTTCAAGCAAGTTTAAATAACTAAAGCTGAAGACACCAAAGTTAAAGAAAAGGGCATATAGGCTGCAGGTATGAAACCACCGTTTTTATCCAAAAGCTCAGATAAACTAATAATATTAAAGAGAATACTTGTGCTTTCATCCTGCAGAAAGGTGTCTGAAAGAATCAGACTAAAAGGCTTCTTTTTATTGCTTTTACTGCTCATTATGCACCATTTGGAACAACAGGGAGGCTAAGCTTGTGAAATGCACCCCTGCACTCTCACACAATTATACGTCAGTGAAAAGAGCTCATTTTAAGAGTAGCCTCAGAAATCTTGGTTCACTTTGCCAACTGTGTCCAAACTCAAGGTGCCTGGCTGTGACTATAGAGAATCCTGACGCGTACATGAAGTTTTCACAACTTCACATCAGCAGAGAAACTTTTTTTAAATGTCCTAACCACATCATGAAAAAATACATCATTTGCTTGATTGATTTTTTGCCTGAAAAATATTTTTTTAAAAATCAATGAACCCTGCAATTTGAGTCAATGTATTTAACAGCTTAAGTTTGGTATAAATACATGCATGAGCCCAACCATCAAAATGTTTACATTTAGAGCACAAACCTGTGTTTAGTATATGTTTTATAAAAACCTTATTTTTTCCCAAATGCACAATGTGAAACACATCTCAACAAAAGTTTGTGCAGACAAAAGTAACGGCACATCACTGTTACAGTGGAGCTCTTGACCGTCAAGCTCCTTAACCTTGGTGCAGGGGGAATAAAAAGCTAAGCTGACAGTGAAGTGGTGATTGCTCTCAAGATGGACTTGGGGAAGGTGACTCCCGAACTCGAAGTCTTAATGCAAGACGCTGTCTGCCCTCAGGGAGGAGCTGATGGAGCTCTTAGACTGCTGCTCTCTGCATGCTCTCTCCTTTCTAAACAGGAAATATTCTAAGAAACTCATTGTCCTCTGGTTTTCCCGTGCAGTGCGGTGACACAACATGCTCTTGTAGTTTACTCGCCCTAACGATACAATGTCAGTCACTGTCTTTAGTTGCATCCATGATGAGGAGTGTCGCTGAGCACCTGCCTTTCCTAAAAAGGACCTGTCCCGTTAACCATATGGCAGCTACGATATTCAGCTCCGCTGCAAGAGAGGACTGCATGACCCACCCCTCCAGGCACGGCACTGTCACTGGAGAAGAAGTAATGAGAACACAGGAGTTTCCATTAAGATGTCACAGAATGGTCCTTAGTCATACTCTTTGACAGACAGCTGCACAGAAGACATTTAGTGTGCAGTCATAAACCATACGCCGATGCAACACGAAATAAACCTTCATCTAAAATTAAAAACATCTTTGTTTTTAATGTATTTTTATTGGACATCATGAAAAAAACTCTCACAATGCATGTTGCATATAAAATAAGAGTCAGCAGCCATTTTATTTTAATCTAGAACGGCACTCTACGAACAAACATCTTACTCCTGTATTATTTGATGGGGATCTAGATAGAAAGTTTTTAATGTTGTAGATGTTTTAAGTTCTTAGTAGAAGTGTTTTTTAAAGGTGGTGCAAGTTTTCTTTTGGAAGTCAGCCATGTTGTAGGCATAAAAACCCTTGGAGAAGGGACAAAGCACCAATTTCCATCTTTTACGTTCTTCTGCACCACCTATGGAAAGTGTATAAATCTGGAAAAGAGGCTTTCCTTTTAGGACCGTTTCTTTAAAGTGGCTTAAAAAGTAACATTTAATGTTCTTAATTTCTATTTTTACTCGTTTTTCTCTGGGTCTGTAAGAGAGAAACCTCCTGCAGTTTGCATCCACTGACTCGTCCCACTGTTGACTGAAGCAGTGGGGCTTAGAACGCAGACCTCAGCGCAGATCCTACCCTGTGTTTAAATCTATTTTGGTTGGACACATGGAGAAATGCACTTCCCCAAACATACTTTAGCTCTGCAGGAACTCTGGCTTTGGGTTTCACACTCAGATTAGGAGCAGAGATGACAGTGCGGAGCTTTGGGTTGGTAAATTGTGACTGAACTGCAAGAACAGGTGCAACAAAGATCTGCTTTGACTGATGGATCTGACAGAAATTGAGATTCTGGGAGTGATGGATTTTAATTTTTTTTTAATTATCTGATGATAGTGGTGCTTCCTTTGGGCCTTTTAGGGTTAATCATGTTGTTGTTACTGTACAAGGATTATAGTGGTGCTGCCCACTCCAGGCTTCAGCAGTATTCTGCCAAGCCAGATGGCCACCATATGTACACAAACCGAGTGATCATAGAGTAAAACAGCACAGGGAGAAACAGGAAACAAAGTAGTGACGAGTGTTAGAATGTGTTAGAATTCCTTTAATCCATTTAATGACTGCCTCTTTAGGTCAAAATAACCATAAACGTACAATGAGTCGTAGAAAAATGAGGCTGGGACCGCTGCAGGGCTCTCACACAGAGTAAATGTGCTAAAGGTACGACTTCAGTTTGAGTTCTCAGGTGACCACAGTTTGGTCTGGGGCAGCCACAAGCCTTTAATGGGTTGGTCTTGTGTTAGCCACTGGGGTATAAAGTAAGACTGTACAAACACGAATCCTGTGGGAAACTATGTGCATGCCTGCAAATGTCAAGTAAAATTAAGAAACCGGTGGAAAAGATATGTGAACCACAAACAAACACACACACACACACACACACACACACACACACACACAC